AGGTATCGCCTGATGCTACCAGTAGTGACACTGACCATAGCCAAATGCAATACTAGTAAAAAAAAAAGTCAGAAGAGATTAGGACGGAAAAATGTCAGTGGCCTCCACCAGTTAAACCATTCCTGTTTTGGGGGTTGTCTCATTGTTGCCCCTATAGTACACCTGTTCTTAATTTCATTAACACCAAAGCAGCTGAAACTGATTAACAACCCCCTCTGCTACTTAACTGACCAGATGAATATCCAAGAAGTTTAGTTTACTTGATGCTATACTCTGATTAAGAAGCATTCCTTTAATTTTTTTGAGCAGTGTATATATATATATATATATATATATATATATATATATATATATATAATTATTATGTTCCTCATATCCTTAGCTCAACATCCATATGTCATGTGCATTGTTTTAATAGGTTTACATGTGTTTAAATCATGTGGGAGGGGTACTTTAAAGCTTAAACTATAAAAAAAATGTTTATTTATATGGTATTTCTATATTGCTGATTTTCACCTATCGTTGTTGGGTTTGGAACACATCTTCCACGATAGGCGGGAGTTCACTGTAGTTATAATTGTGAAAAACCAAGATACCGTGAAACCATGATATTTCCTGAGACAGTTGTCATAATTTGAAAATCTCATACTGTTGCAACCCTAGCCAGGTGTTTATAGTTTTATTTGGGCCCATTCTAAACTGTTTGTGGTTTCTTTTTTGTCTGTTCTAGCCAGGGCAATGTTTGAAGTTTCATTTGAATCCATGACTTAATTGCTCTGGTTTCTACTTAAATACCTCCTGGTTACATTAATGTGGTTCCTCAGAAACACTGAATTTGAAAATGTTTTGTTTGCCAAACACACAGCAAAACATTGGTACTGTAGCCTGTGCAGTCACTCCCTACGAGATATAGTAATTAAAATGACAAACTATTAGTTCATTAACAAAAGTGACCTCACAGCTGCAGTTTCTTGGCCTCTTCCCTATACCAGCACACCAGGATTCACCATGATCAGTCATACAGTAATGTGCATGCAGCATAGGGGTCACCTTACCACTACATGCTTCATTACAATCCAGTATAATTTGCTTTTGTATACGGACAAGGAGACATTGATTTAAATCGTGTCCCAAGGGGGTTAAAATCTGTGTTTTTCATAGGACCTGACAAGTTATTTTCCAGTGACCATTGAGGCATAACGTGTGAGACGGATCCTTCACAGTGGCCTACAGTACAGAGCTGGGTGTTAAGCTCCACCGCATCACTCTGTTAGCCTGTCCCTTGGCTCTGGAATTACCACAGAGGAGATTGTGTACCTGAACCCCAAAGACAGGGAATGCACTGTTAAAGTAGACATGTTAGGAATTTGTTTTAAAATTCATCGTTTATGGTAATATATTATGTTATGAGTAAAATATGAGAAACAAATAAAATGCCAAATTATATATCATCAATGGTAATAATCACCGAATGAAAAATATAAGAACAGTGAAGAATGATCCCTCTTCTTTGTTAAACATTTACCCTGGTGACCGTAACGTAATTTTAGAATTGGCTACCATATTTGGTGAGACGAAAAAGAGGACATGTCCGGGGATCAGAATATTAATGAGTTTTCGCATTCACCAACCAATCAGGTAGCACACGAATATTGATTATCACGTTCACTGTCCAGTCAGGTAGGACATCTCTTATGAGTATTAATGAGTTTTCACTAACTACCCTGGTTAATGAATACTCGTGTCTGGGGAAACCCGGACGTATGGTAACCTTACGGTTAACTCTTGTTTTACAGTCTACTCACAATTGACATATTTTTCAACAAAAGTTACAAAACATTAAGCTAAAGTTTGTTAAGCAATTGATGCAATTCACTGTTCACATGAAAACAAAAATTAAGTGTCATAGTGCCAATGGTTTCTGGAACCTGATGTTACTCATGAGCTGAATATCAGGTAGGGCTGTGTATGTTGTTTAATTTTTAAAGTTATGATGTGCACAAGCCTTTCAAACACTGTGTGATGATACTAAGTGACTGTTGTATATTGAAAATTGGTGCCTTTTCCTTCACTCAGTATTACACTTTAACTTACAATACAGGTTGCAGCACTAAACCTGGACAAACCACTGATTTTTGAAAAACCGCCTGGACGGCTAGACAGGGACCCAAACAATGGATGTAAGTAAGGTGTTGAGCAACATTGAGTAAAGTGCTGAGTAGGGTGTTGAGTAGCGTGTTGAATAAGGTGTGAGCCCCCACATGCTGTCTTTGCCACACTGCCAGGTCCTTCCAGCAGAAGGGATAGTGGAAATTCAGAAACTCCCGAGTTATCTTCGAACTTGTGCCACTTTCAGCTGTGCTACTCATCATCCTCATGACCAAGAGAAGAGCTTGAGACATAATTGAATGAAAAATTACGATCTGAAATTATATCAGTACAATTCTCATATCGGGTGACTAATGCATTTCGTCCGATGGTCTGTGCTGCTTGTGGTATGGATCAGCATTCTTGGAAATTCTGTGAGTGTCTTTATTCTTAATGGTGCAGTTGGGGCTGCTCCAGTGTTGCCTACAGTACATCTGAAAGTCACAAGATCGAAACAAGATTTACTGTAATGCATTGGTGTATGTTTGAAAAATAACATACATACAAACATAAACAGACATACAAACATAAAAAAGCAAACTATACTAGGTTTATTATGTCTGTGGTATATCTCTGTTGCCTTGCATCACTAAAGTAAATTTGTTCTGTGCTCCTTCGATGAAGTTAAAACCAAATAAAACTGAGTTTACCATTGATGGTTGCTGGGCTTCCAGTTTTCTTAATCCATTAACCCGATCAGGATGGACAAAAATGTTCCTGCAGTTGTTTAATCAAGACATCAGTGCAGTGATTAAAGGCTGCTTGAGCCTGAATGAGCCTTCATGTGTTTTTACTACAGCAGGTCACCATAACACTCGATCTTTTCCCAAAAAACACTTATTCCTTTTTCACTTTTCTAGTCCAGAACTGCTGTATGCTATACTACACCATGTCAGCCTCCTTTAATCAGATGCTGAGCTGTAGCCAGTTAAAAATCAATGTCCTGCCTCTAGGTTAAAAATGAGGAATACTGATATTGATTGGCCAGCTGCCAGAGTGTCCAGTGGATGCTTACTGAGCAGCTCCTCACAAAGACTGTCTTTAGTTCAAAGGCCACCAGCTTCCTTTTCACTATTGATCCTGCATTCTTGGGTTTATCGAGAGAAACCTGAACATCTTTTATGGAAGTGCCCAAGTTGGGCTGCAAACTGGACTGTAGCACTTACTTTAAAGCAGGGGTCTCAAACTCCAGTCCTGGGGGGGCGGAGCCCTGTGTAGCTTAGTTCTTTCCCTGTTCCACCACAAATGATTCAGTTCAACAGCTGTGTGGTAATTAGCACAAGGAGTTGAATCAGGTGTGTTAAATGAGGGTGAACCAAAAACTGTGTAGGGCTCCGGCCCCCCAGGACTGGAGCTTGAGAACCCTGCTTTAAAGATAATGGGCTTCCCAGGCTTGATGCAGGACCGAGGCAGGGATGTCTTTTCAGTCTGGAAGCCTGAGAGCACCATCTTTGTTCAACCCAGGTACCTCTCCTTCCAGCTCACAAATTCTTCATTTCTGCAACCACTTGTGCTGCCTTCCCTGCTTCATATATGGTCCCCATATTCCGTGTTCTGAAGTTGATGGTAGCTCTGTTTCATTTAGCTCAAGCCTGGTTAATTAAGAGAATTCCACGGACCCACTTAATAAATATTACCACATTACATTTGTTGTCTTCAATTGTTAAGCATAAGCCTCGCCCTTGTTCAGGCACCCGCGCACAGCACTGGTTAGCCGTTTGAGTGTGTGTGGACTGCTTGTAGACTGGCTCAGTTGGAGGATGTGTCCCTCTCTCCTGGCGAGTCTTTGTGCATTCAGTTTATACCCGAAAAGCTGAAAACTGTTTCTCCCTTTTTACCTTAATCACAATATTCTGATTCGCAGACAGTGGGATCCCCTATGCATAAATTTATTTTTAAAATGTGATTTTGTTTTTAATCATATGTGTCACTTTTACTTATCTTCTGAATTAATAGTTATTTCTGTTTAGTTGAAAAACCATGTACAGTCATAATGTCTTTTAGTATGTTTATGAGAAATATATGAGATCCTTGTACAGCCTTAAGGCATTGTAGCATAATTTAATATATTGCTGGTACCAAAAGTCTCTGCTAGCCAGTTCCTCTTGCATCTTTTAATAAACAGTGAGGTTTTGAATGCGGGTGTAGCAGAGAAAAGCATGTGAACAGTGGTCATATTTCATACACGGTGGATAGATTTTTGTCATCCAAAGCACAGCTAAATTCAATCAATGTTTGAAACAGGACCCAAGCCACAACTGCACCAACAGAAATAGAAAATCTTGTTTTGCTCTCTGGTAATGACATTAGTGCGTTCCCTAAATGGCTGCCCCCTGGCCCAAGGAGAGAGGCAATAAGGGTCTCATTACTGTATGCCTGCACACATTTCCACTTTCCAGTAAAACAGCGTGATGGATCGGCCCCTGGCCTCAGCAGGTAATGATTCATTTGTGAGCTGTATTATGGTCGGTAATTAAACTTGCCAAGGTGAACTCAAGGGGAAACACAAACCATTTTATTGAGCATTTTGGTAATCGATTCAGGGAGGCAGGCCGACGTCATCTGTCATGCATGACCCAAGTTAACATTATAATGAATGTGGCCTAGATGCCGACTTCTTTAAAGGACGCTCATTGACTTTTCTTCTGATGTGAGAAGCGGACCCTTGTGTTCGTGTGTAAACCTTACTAGCTGGGTCCATGAACTTTTCAGGTTCGTCTACTGTGAGGAACCTTCAAATGCTCCAGTAACCATATAGATTCACAGGGAGGAGGGGCAGAGAAAGAGTGCTTCAGAGGTTCCTCACGCATCCTCGTCCCAAAGCTGTGTTGACGAAACACTTCTCTCGGCAGGTTCTTCCGCTGTGTACTTCCCACAGAAAGAGTACTTCGAGAGCATGTACGTGGGCCAGGAAACTGGCTCCGCCCTGCTGCAGCTGCATGGCCTGCGCGAGACCGACACTGAGAGGCCCCACTTCTACCTGTGCCCTAACAGCCCGATGAATAAAGATCCCTACAAGTCCTGGTTCCACCTGGATGAGAGAACTGGCATCCTATCACTAAATAAGACGTTGGACTCCAGTGACTTCAGTGTGCCATGTGAGTTGGATGTGAACTTGTCCTCTTTGCCAGACACAGACATCATGCTGGTCTCAGACAGGGGCATTAGCAGCTCAGGTGTGGCAAGCAGCTCCTGTAGAGTTTATAAGTTACTGTGATGTGCAAATCAGTCTAGATGTTTAACTTCAACATTATTAGATTCAACCAGCTGGTCAGTAATAGTGATTCTAATTCGAGGATTAAAACCATCTCTGTTCACACATTTGCCTACCTGATGTTTCCTGCAGAGGTGGGTAATTCAGGTCCATAGAGTAAAAGTTTCAACCAAAGAGTTGAGTATAAAGAGTCACGGTCACTCAGTACTCAATTCGGTGGTTGAAATAAAATCTTGGTCTCGACTTTTATTCTATGGACCTGAACTACCCACCTCTGGTTGCCTCTCTGGCGATGTTACTGATTCTGCTGTTGCTTCATTAGCAAGCAGCCTCACCATGTCCCTGAAGCGGCTCAGTCTGAAAGCAACGGTCACCCTTGAGCCACAACAAAACTTGAGCTGCTTCTGGAGCCCCACTGTGAACATCATCCTCACATTCATCAACACAGCGCCCCCTTGTGACCATCAGAATCTGATAAAGATGTGCTTCCCTGAGAAAGATGCCAGCCCCCACATCAAGGAGAACCGGTGGTCCGGGCCCTTCCGGCAGCTCAGGCGCCTGACCTATCAAGATCTCTGTCCTAATTTTACCATCACATACAGCCTGGAAGCAGGTATTCCATCATGCATTATCTCTGTGGCTGTAATGAGACTAGCTAACCAGAGGAGATTATTTAATGATCAACAATCCTTATGTAAGTAACGGAAGCTGTCGTTTATGGTCTGTTTCTATTCATTTTTGGTTGTTTTATTATAGTGTAGTAATTTCAAAACCTTTACTTTATGCTCAGTATTGCTCTGATACAAGTATTGCTCTGATTAAGAGGAATGAAACTCTAAAGAGTGAAATAGGTAAAAAAAAAAAATTATGTGATTCAGTGTGTGCTGTCATTCCATGGTATAGATATTTCCGCCCCATTTCTCATCAATGAGAACACTTCTGAGCTGGTGGTGACCAGGTCACTGGACCGCGAGGAGAAGGAGGTGCACGAGCTTCTGTTAGTCTGCACAGTGACCACAGAGTCCAAGGTGCACAAGATGTCCATGCCAATCCTGGTGAATGTGTATGACGAAGATGACAGTGCCCCCTATGTGAATGGCACAGACACAGAGGATGTGCGGATTGAGTTTAATCGCATGGAGGTCAGTTGGTCCCTTGTGCTGTCCTCCTGTCCTCCCAGGCGCATAGTTTGGGGACACGCAGATTATACTTTGTGCCAAATGGAAACCAGCACAATACACTGTCCCTTTAATTATGACTCTTCAAAAAGAATTACCTACCTGTTGTTTCATCACATTACCATACCCCAGTTTATTGTCATCATTTTGATGCTTTACGTGAAGAGGTTGTCCTGATTATAGACCTGCAATGAGCTGCAGATGAGCCACACTTGCTGTCGCATGCTGTGATGCTGACATTCCCACTCAGACTCATCAAACCTAGAAGTTAAAGGACAGAAATCATTTTCTGATTTTCTACGATGCGCCCTTGGCATTTCAGGTACAGTTATTTTCTCTGATAGACCAATTAAATGTTTTTTCAGGGCTCCCAGTTTGGCAGTTTATTGGTTTATGATAAAGACACAACACCAATATACCCCAAAGACCAGAGTCACAACAAATTTGTTGGAAGTATGAGGACAAATGACTCCTGGATTAAGGAAATGTTTTCTGTGGAGCATTCTTTCATTGAGGAAAAAGCAATCTTTGGCAACGTTCGTGGGACTATTCATAAATACCGTGAGTAATTCGCCAGTCACATTTCAATTTACCAGATTATTTAGCACTAAATATTTACAATAACGCACTTTATTGTAAACATTACAGCAACTTGTAAAAATATATATCTTTGCTTGGATAAAGGTTAATCTATAGAAGGTTGTTCTCTGTATACCTTCCTTGTTAATGCAGAGATTTTCTTTTTAAACCAAACCCATGTTTTCATCAATACCACCTCCAGGCCTGGCTCTAAATAAGAACATTCCAGTACCAGAGAAGCGTTCCTTCCTGTTGGATTATCTAGTCAATGACACTACCTTTCCTGGTTCAGAGGGAACTGTGATGCTTCACTTCAATGTTACCATCCTACCAGTGTCCATCCGGTTTACCAACCCCCTGTATCACTTTCCTGTATCCCGTAGATCTTCCCCTTATGCACAGGTAATACATCATGGAATATTTGCATTTTTGTGAGCACCACAAGAAATTCAATTTTTGTTTACGTATTTTAAACACGTATACCATTAAAATCCACTCCCTGTTTGATGTAATTTAGCAGAATGACGTTCCTGAATCAGGTTATGCTACCTGACAATAGTGTAGAATACAGCATGAGTTCTGAATTATTATGGAAACAGGCGAGAGGCTTTTGATTGTCCTGATCTCACATGAAGCTCCCAGAACCTCTTAGCATTTCACATTTCAAATCATCACCTTCTCCCCCAGATCGGTAGAATCTGCATCGACAACTGCCTGAAATTCCAAGGGATCAACATCACTTACCGGCTTGCCATGGCGGATGATAATGTCTCGTCTGTGGAAAGAGTATGCCATTCCATAGTCAGCATTGCACAGAGCCTGACAGATATCTGGGGAGTGCTGTACGTCAACCATACGGAGGGACTATGGCAGCCACAGTGCCAAAGCCTGCAGTACATGGTGGTGGCCAAGGAGCAGCTGAGCCAGCTGCAGGCTGAAGCCAGGCTCCGGGTGGAGTTCTACGATAAAGGCAGGTGCCTGCCCCATGATTAGTGTGCTGCCCTGGGTCACCACCTGCCACGTGACATCTCTGTTTACTCAGGTTTCATACAGAGCTGGTGAGACCTGACAAGACGTGGGTCTCTACTGGAAATGTACTGGTGTTTGCCCCGCTCAGGACTGTTATCCAGTTGATGTTGTGGTTTTCGTTCTGGACACAGCTTGACTGTTGATGCTTCTAACCATCCGTGTTTATTCCATGTCGACGTCCAGGAGAAAAGCAGAGCCTGGAACGTGACTGTCCACTGTCCTGTGCCAAGCAGCGACGCCGGGGGCCATGTGAAGCCTGCAGTGGCTTGGGGGCAACCACCGGGAGGTGTCAATGGAGACAAAGCATTGACAAAGGTCCAAAAGGGGGCTGGGCATTCATTTATGTACACAGCATGGTGTGCACAGAGACCCTATCAACCTGTAAAACACATGCAGTCCAGCATGCACTGGTGTTAGACTGTCGCCTCTCATATGCATGTTTTCACACCCCAGTAATATCCATGAACTACTCCACCTGCTCTCCGGACCTCAGCACCTGCCCGGATGGGTACTGTGACATCGTCGAAAGCAAAGACTTGGCAATATGCCCCCAGGACTGCACAGGTGAGATCAGATGTACCTGATCTGCAAGGTTCTGATGCATTTCAGTTGCATTTAGAACTGAGCAATGGATGTGTTGCACTTGAAAACCAGCACAATCATGTTTAATGATTATTCAGATTATTATTATTATTGTAACTGATGCTTTGATGCTGTGGACCTTTTGTTCGCAACCAAACAGTGAAGTTTTGCATGGTGTATACTGGTGGTCTCCTGTCTGTGCTTCACTCATAACGGAGCTCAGATAAGCCCATTGTTGGAGGCCATGAACGAGGGCTGCTGTATGGCATCAAGGCTGGTCATGGAACCTGTTACTGTGCAGACAACTGCTTTTGTGAGATGGACAATGTAGAAGGTAAGAGAACTAATTAAACGTTACTGGCTGCCAGTGAACTAATTAAATCTTATTTACATTCAATAAACTAATTAAATATTACTAACAAGAAATGCATTACCTATTAAACAGTACATTATTAATCAGTCATCATTAAAGCATGCTTATAGGCCTTGCCTTGTAGATTTGTGAAGTGTTCGGTAAATGTGTGCTGTGTGTAAGGTATGCCTGTGCCTTCTGTTAGGTATGCATGTGCCATGTGTTAGGTAAACCTGTGCTGTGTGTTAGGTAGGCGTGTGCCATATGTTAGGCATGCATGTACCATGTCTTAGGTAAGCATGTATTGTACGTGTTGTGGGCTCTCACCCTCAGCCTCTGTTTGGTTCCATGCAGAGTCCATGTGTGATGATGTCTGTAAGACAGTGGTTGCCACGGCGCTTCTCCTCTCCTTCATAATCTCTGTGCTGCTGTCCACTTACTTCATCAACCGCTACCATAAAAGCTCCCCGAAGTCACCAAAGCCCTCCGCCGAAATGTCCTTCCGGCGGCCTGCCCAGGCCTACCCCATCAGCTTCTCAGCCAACAATGTCCGACGGCCTTCTCTGGAGTCCATGGAAAACCAGGTGGCCATTGATACCTTCAAGATACCGGTAAGATGCACACAACTTATCGCTGCTTGATCCCTCAATCAGTCAACCAATTTGCTGCCCTGGAACAGTTGATAAGCATTGCCTGACATCACAGATTGTAGGTATTTCAATGTTTAGAAACACCCAGTAGAAATATGTGAAAATGCCAAAGTACAGAATGGTTTTTCTAATATACAAACTCTGTGTGCTAAGATGCTGACTAGATGACTATATAATATGGTTACAGGAAGATCCAAAGTGGGAATTCCCACGAAAGAACTTAGTCCTGGGTAAAACCCTGGGAGAAGGGGAGTTTGGTAAAGTTGTCAAGGGAACGGCATTCCGGCTGAAGGGAAAAGCTGGATACACCACAGTGGCTGTGAAGATGCTGAAAGGTAGGAGAGTCCAGGCCCGGAATAACATTATGACATTCCCTTATGCTGCTGTTATTTGTACATACTGTAATATAGTTTTCAAAAACTATCAAATGAATCATACAAAGTACATAATCCAGTTAAATATCATCTCCTTTCTCCTGGCACAATGGTGCCAGTAGTGTGATGTGCATTTTGCTGATTTGTTTGTAAATGATATTGAATAATCTGGAGATTTGATATTGAATGTATCACCCTGAAAACATAATGATGAAAATGACTTTTCCATTGTTCCACCTTGCTTGAAACAGAAAATGCCTCGCAAAGTGAGCTTCGAGACCTTCTGTCAGAGTTCACCCTGCTGAAGCAGGTCAACCACCCACACGTCATTAAAATGTACGGAGCCTGCAGCCAAGATGGTGAGGTCCCGTACGCGTGATGTCACATTTAATCTAAATCATGTGGGTGTGAGTGAATTAGTATAGTAAGCAGCTTGCTGCTCTAAGACCTTCACTGGTCTGTAATCCAGTGGGTTTTAGATATCTGAGGGGATTCGTCCTGGGGTTGCACATAAACATGGAGATCACAGAAACTCATGTAAAGTGATCCCTACCTTGGGTCATTCAGTTGGTCCCACAGGAGCTCACGTGCAAGTGTGTGTGACATGTTGACTGGCTGCTCTTTCATGCCAGGCCCGCTGTACCTCATTGTGGAGTATGCCAAGTATGGCTCTCTGAGGAACTTCCTGCGTGATAGCCGCAAGGTGGGCTCAAGCTACATGGGTGGCGACGGCAACCGCAACTCCAGCTACCTGGAGAACCCAGACGAGCGGGCACTCACCATGGGCGACCTCATTTCCTTCGCCTGGCAGACCTCCAGGGGCATGGCATACCTGGCCGAGATGAAGGTCCTGTGAGACGGGGGAGACTTGCTCTAGAACAAGAAGCCCCGGCCTGCTTCATGACCCTACCCCACCACACCTCCAGTCTATCATAACTTACCTCCTCTTGCCTGTTCCTCAAGTCTGCTCCTCATGTTTGTTCCCCATGGTCAGCTTTTCATGGTCTGCTTCCCATATCACCTCCTCATGTCCTCTAACCTCTCTTTTACTTAAAACTGCTCATCCCTGATGCTTTGGCCTGATGCCCTTTTCCTTATTTGGTTGCTCTGTATTCATCTCACGCCACCAGCTGAGACTTCTGTCCCTCAGTGTGTCCCCCCTGGCAGGTCTATAACATTACTACCTGCATATTACCCCTGTACAGCTTGTCCACCGAGACTTGGCAGCACGGAATGTTCTAGTGGCAGAGGGACGCAAGATGAAGATTTCTGACTTTGGCTTGTCACGGGATGTGTACGAGGAAGACTCCTATGTGAAGAGGAGTAAGGTGAGGTAACCTCCCCTGCATGGTCTGTGTTGGACACACCTGCGTTTTGTACCATTCATTTAATGTATAGCATCAATGCTTAGAGTGTAGTCCTTTGGGCAAATAAATGGATGCCCAAATTTTAATTCTTTTCTGGACTTTCAAAATTCACAGCCAAAATTCATATGTTCCACACAGGAACATATGAAACCAGCCTGACACTTGTCATCTGCAACCATACATTACCAGATTGTACAAATGAGATTGACAGTATGTAACTTGAAGTGTGTAAATAAAGTGGATTGCAGAATATTTAGCTAACTGCTGTTCCCTTAGGAACTGTCAGCATTTATCAAAAGAATGGACGGACATGAGAGGGTGCACAGCAGAATGAACATTGTACTAGCATTGTAGGCTGCAGCATTATACTTTCCATTTTTCCTGTTTTAAATTTTTCTTTTGATCAGGGTCGGATCCCAGTGAAATGGATGGCCATCGAGTCATTGTTTGACCACATTTATACCACACAGAGTGATGTGTAAGTGTCCCAAAAAAAGAGGAATATAAGTAAAAGAGTAATGTACAAATCAAACACAGTACCCTTTCGATACAAGAAATGGAAATGCAGTCATATTTAATCATGTTTACATTTGATTTCAAATCCTCTTAATGAGGTGGCTAGAAATACTCAGCAATGGCTAAACTACACTCACCTAAAGGATTATTAGGAACAATTTTGAGCGTGGCATGGTTGTTGGTGGCAGGTGGGCCGGTCTGAGTATTTCACAATCTGCTCAGTTACTGGGATTTTCAC